ATGGAGGACGGCGGGGCCGAGCCGCCAAAACGCTCCGGGCCCCGCGCCGCGCCGGCACCCCCCACCCCGGCGCGCGCGGCGGGGAGGGGGCGCGAGAGCGGCCGAGAGCGGAGGGCCCCGAAAGCGGCCCCTTGGCGCGGGGCACGCGGGCACGGCTCCTCCGCCCCGGGGTGGGCCGCGGGCAGGCCGGGCCCGGCGCTCGGCGAGCTAAAATGGAGAACCTCCTTCTCCTCCTCCCCCTTCCCCCGAGCCGAGCGGCGGCTGCCGGCAAGATGGAGGACCCGGGCATTGTGTGCGCGCCGCCGGGCGGGGAGGGCACGGCCGGAGCGGAGGAGGGCGACGGGAAACGGAGCGGCGGCCGCCGGGGGCCGAGCCGGGACGTGCGGGGACATCGCGGCCCGCGCCCGACGGCGCCCGGCCGCGGCTCGGCGCGACGCGCTCCTTCGTCGGCTCCTTCTGCTCGGAGCGGGGCCGGCAGGAGCGCTCCGAAGGCCCGGGCCGTTCTTCCCCCCCCCCGCCCCGACGACGCCCGCTGTAGCTGCGCTGCCCCGCTTCGCGCGGCCGGGCCTTTGTGGGACCCCGCGGCCTTTCCGAGCGCCTCGGGGCGGCCGCCGCAGCGCGTAGAGCCGGGCGGGTCGGCGCGGCGCTGCCGGTGGTGATTGCGGTGACTGACTGTGCGCGAAGCGGGCCGGGCCGCGTGCTGCGGGGTGCAGCCGGAGCCTGGGCGGCTGCGGTGGGGGAGGAGGAGGAGGCGGAAGGTCGGCGGCCGTGCCGGGGGCTTTTGGCGCCACTTTTGTTCGGGGCGCTCCGCCCTGCACGGCCGAGCTGCTGCCCCGCTCGTGTTCTGTACGCGGACTGACGGCCAAAATAACATAAAATAAAGCCCGGATCCAACTCCAGCCGCCGACGCGGTGCGGAGCTCGGCGCGGCCGGGAGCTCGGGGCTTCTCCTTTTTATTATTGCGTTCGCGGTCGGTTTCTCCCCCGGCTCCGCGCTCAGCTCCCCGCGGGCTCCCGTAGCCCCGCTCGCCCTTCTCCTCTCCGCGCTGCCCGGCCCCAACCCGCGCCCGCCTTCCCTTCCCTTCGGTGTTGGGCCGTGTGGAAGCGCTGCCCCTCCCGCTGCAGCCCGCCCGCTCCCCCGCCCCCCCCTTTCCCGGGGCCCATCGGGCCGGGGCCGCGCGGCGCCGGGCGGGACTCGTGTTACCGAAGTGCGTCACGCGCGGCCCCGCCGGGCCTGCTCCGCCGCCGGGCGCCTCCGCGCCCCGCCCGCCCCGCGCCCGCCGCTCATTGGCCGGCAGCGGGCGGGAGGCGGCCGCTTCCTCCCATCGCCCGGCGAGCTCCGGCCCGCGGCCCCGGAGCCGTGCGGGTTCGCGGGGCCGGGAGGCGAGGGAACGCCGCCGGGAGCGCCGGCCTCGAAGCCCCGCGCGGCCGCCTCGGCGCTCCCTGCTGCGGCGTCGAGCCCCTTTTCGAAGGAGCCGAGCGGTGCTGCGCCCTTCCTGCGGCGCTGCGGCCCCCCGGCGCCGGGTCCCGGCGGCTCCCCGCCGCTTCTGGGCGCTCTCCGCCCGGCTCTTCCCCGTTTCCGTGCCCCCTCCCCTAGAGCCGTCCTTCCGCCCCTTCCTGCCGTTCCTGGGGCGTGGATCTGCCCGGCGCTCGCCAGAACGCCCGCGCGTGGGTCAGTTACCGCAGGTACACGAATACCGCAGCGATAGTGCGACGCGGGCCTTCGTCTGTGCCTTCCTGGTGCCGCCTGCTCGCCCCCAGCGCTCCCTGCACGGGTGAACCTCTGATGATGGCAGCAGGGCCCCGCCATCCTGTGCCCTTTGAGCAGCCAGGGAGGGAAATCTGGGAAGTTGGGGCTGTTGCGGTGAGTTTACCGTTGGGTAAACAAACAGGAAACAAAACTGGGGCTGGGGAGATGCGTAAGTTTGGCTGTGGAATTTCATCACGCTCAGACACCTCCCCTGTTGCCTACCTGGGCCAAAGCTGTGTATGTGGTTTTCTTCCTCTCATTTACATTTTCAGGAGGTCAGAACCGAGTGCAGCCCATGAGTGCTGTGAGGGCCGGCCGGTGCCCTGCCGCAGCACTCTGGCTCAAGTTGTGGACGGCTCTTTGACTCACCAGGTCTCCATAGTTTGCAGTTGAAAGCAGAGCTCACCGGTGCCACCAAAGGGGTTCGTAGTGCTCAGAGTTCAGTGCATAGAATATATTTGGAATCTTTGTAACTACAAAAGGTTGGTAGCTTCGTAGCTTATTGGAATAGTTAGTTCGAAAGTCGTTACTTGCTTAAGGAGCATTCAGTTTTAAAAATAGGAATGTTAGACTAGCTGGTTGTTAACTCAAATTCCATAAATATATAGCATTCCTGGTTTACATCCTAATGCATTTAAAGATGCAGATGTGTAGAATGAAGTCACTCCCACTTGGGAGCCACGTGGAGAACATTGATACATGATCTCCTTATTCTGTTTCAACCCAGTCTATGAACAGCATCAATGTTCTTAGGTTTTGTGTATTAAACAAAGCAATGTGGACAGGTTCTCTTGAATATTACATGGCACTGCAATCGCCTGTAGAAGATGGCTGCAGGCTACAGACCACTTGAAAGTGTGCACTCGGTGGTGGGAGCAAGTACAGGAGGCTTAGTTAAATCATGGAACGACTTTAGCATCAGAGTGCTGTGAACCTTTTTATTACATTGTTCTTTGTCATTTGCAGTTCAAATTTAGAATGATTGGAGTGTCCCCATTTGTCATTCTCGTCTGTAGTGGTATTGCCTCAGTTTGTTGCTGCAGGCAAATATAGGAGAAGTTTGGTTTTCTGGAATTTGCGTGCTGTGTGTTTCGCAGAGGCCCCTCAGCACTTGAATTGCTTGTTTTTATCAAGTGAATCCCAGAAGTAAGCAAGTGTTGGTGCTGGCTATTTTGGCCTCTTGGTTGTGTTCTTGCAATCCTGTGCTTTGTTGAAGGAGCTGAGGTTTTGAGCTCGCTGTGATCTCTGCCAATGGTGTGACCGTTTCTTCTCCAAGTAATTTAAAACCCTCAGCAGATGCTGTAGGTGTGAATTTCCAAAGTGGTACTGTCTGTTCTTGGGTGAGGAATCAAGGGAACAGATTGGGTAAGGGATGCCTTATAGATTGTACCTCTGTCAGCTGGATGCTGTTCTTCTGGGCTTCATCTGCTTCAGTAGTTGTCCTTTAATGGAAGGAAGTGGTTGATAGCAGCCAACATTATTAACAGCTTAAGACTGTTAAGCTCTGGTCATTTTCTTGGTATAAAGAAACATGTCCACATTATGAAAACTTCAGCTTTCTTATATGAGGATCAGTGACAAAGAAGGGAGAGAATGAAGCAATAACCAGTCCTTGGGAAATGGGTGTGTGGGCAAGTGGGGCTTTGGATGGGGAACAGGAAGCTTGAGCACAGTGAATCCATGGTGGAGTGGAAAGGGCTGTTCCACACATCCCAAAAACTTACACGTGACACGCAGTCCTAGTGCATCGGCTGAGATTCAGAGCAGTCCGACATTTAAGATCACTTCCACTTCTAAACTCAAATGGGAAGTGAAAATGGGAATCTTTGATGGTCTCAAACTGTTCTGTCACTGACCTCAGTGGTCCCCTTCTGTCCTGTCCTGACTGCGTGCCCCTGGACAAGTCCTGGGGTTCCTTCTGCCAGGGAGGAGCTCACCGTGTGCCCAGTTTGGGCCGCAATGCTGCCAGCACTGGGCTCCTGGGTCAGCTCTGGGAGCCCGTGTGGCTGCAAGGCACTGGGGGCAGCTGAGGGCCTGCCTCCCATAGCACCATGGAGCGGCATGGTGGGGAAGCCGTGCTGGCAGGGCAGCCTGCAGGGCAGGGGTGCTGGATGTTTTGTCCTGGTGTGGTATGTTTGGCAGGGAGACCTTTGGGTAGGCTTTGCTGTGTTATGTCTGTGTCGCTGAAGAGTTTGTTTTAGTATGTTTTTTATAAAGGTTCTTTCCACCATTCGACTCTTTCACCATTCTGTCAATGGTTTTTGCATCTAAACATTAGTCCAGTGCCATCAGTTGGCTTTTTATATTTGAAAAAAAACACCTGTTTCCAACAGGTCAGATATCTGCAGTTTGAGGAGGAGCCTTGAGATGTAACATGACTCATAATAAGGTCTGATATTTATTTGTGTTGTACAGTGAGAACTTCTGGGAGCTGGAGATTCAGAATGTGAATTCATACAAAATTTTATTGGAATCTGTTTTCTTTGAACTCACTTTTCTCATGTTGTGGTTCATGAGATCTGGTCAGGTTGGATCTTTTGGAGAGTAAACATGGAGTTAGAGAAGCTCCTGAACAAGGCCCTCGTTCAGATGCAGATGAATTTGGTGCTGGTGCTGGCTTGTTCGTGTTGGGAGACTTGAGGGACTGTTATCTGAGCAGTCAAACGTTTTCTTAGGTATCAGTGCAAAAGCTGCCTTCTGTTCACGTTCGTTCAGTTTGGTGGCCAGGATCAAGTCCTAAATGTGTTACAGCACTGCTGCGTTTCACAGTGCTGTGTTTTTAGTATTTGTTTATTTCCAAGCTTTGCGCTATTAAGGAAACCACAGATGGGCGAGGTACTGGGTGGAAAAGAAGGCACGTGAGGCTCCCTGCCTTCATCTCACTGAGTGCCCTGGACTGAATGGAGCTGAGGAGGTCTGGCACCTGGCTTTGGAGAAGGGGACGTGGAAAAATGGGGTCCTGGAGGGCTCTTAGGTAGCCCTTTGTATTTCAGTGACAGCTCTTTTCTGGTCTTCACTGGCTGCAGTCATTTGGAGAAGCACAATCTGCTTTTTAAACCAATTTATTCCAATGAGTGTAGAAATAAGGTGCACATGGACTCACATTTGTATGCTGTTACTTCATCTTATTGCAACGTCAGGTGGAAATTAAAAGTTCACTGCCTTGCAACTGCTGTGTAGCCCTGGATGTACTTTATTGTTTGCTCTGTTGTGTTCTGTGTTTGTTTTGTTTTGCTGTAGGTTGCTATAACTTTCACTGAGGGAAGAAGTATTTTTTGTAAAAGAGCATAAGAGAATGACTGGAAGAACGTGTAGACGTGAGAAGACTGGCATACACAGGAGGACTGACTGATCTGTGATTGAGAAGTGACAGTGCCCACTGGAAGCCAAGTGTCTGGAGAGGAAAGCATGCCTGGCTTTTTGGTGCGCTGGTACCTGCTTTCTTTTCTGTTCTCCAGTCTCATGGATTGTTGGTGCTGCACTTACATTGCCTCTTACATCTTACTTCTCTTTGCATTTATTTCAGTGAATATTAGTTGCTGGATTAGAGGAGCAGGAGTGCTCAGGTTCAGTGGAAGAAGATTTGGTTTTTACAGCAGATTTCTGTGCAGCTTCTGAAGATGGAGGCATTCCTGTGTTTGTTCCCATTGCCTTAGGGTTGATGTGACAAGCAAACTGCCACACGCTGGCCTGTGACTCTTCCATTATGGAAAAAAAGCCTCAAGTGATGGGTTTTACCATGCAGTGTGCCTGCATTGTGCAGGGCAGCTCCTGCCACCTGTGCACTCGTGCCGTGTCTGCTGCTGCGGTGCCTTGGCTGCTTCTGGGGCACACATGGGGCACTCGGTGCTTTCTGGGAGAGCTGCTCTTGTAATCGTTGGGCAGCAAAGACGACTTAATACAGCTGTTTTCTTACTGTTCCATACACACCGTTGGCCTCAAAAGACATGAGTACTTTTTGAGGTAATATTGCACTTCTTGGCCATGCCTGAATTGCCTTTTTTACGTAACTGGAATGTCAGCATAAGTTTTATGAGAGAGTGCCTTCCTTGCAGCACGTCGGATGGGGAAAAAAGACTTTTGCTTTTTTTGCAAATAAAGATAAGCTGTTGAAAAAGAGACCTTTCTGTTTTTAATGCAATTACTTGCTATTCCTTTGGGCAAAAATCTCAGGTCGCCTCGTAACGTGGATGAACGCTGGGAATTTAGACAGTATCAAGTCTTAGTAAGCAGATAATTTGCAGGTAATGTAATTGGCTGGTTTTATTTGTTTGAATTGAGTTTGAGGATAGTTTGTGTGGGGTGATTTGAGGGGACTGTTCAATCTCCCTATTTCTGGTACTTTTATTCTCTGACTGTGGGTAGTTGATTTTGTAGTTAAACAGGGGTAATAAAAATCACTTTGAGTAATAAATGTCAGAAATGCAGTTTTGTAATTAATGCAGCATGCATTTGAGGTCTCTAGTTTTTAATTTGAGTGTGATTTTAGATGATGTGAGTCCTGTAATAGGATATTTTGTATGGTTATGGATGCAGTAGCCAAATAATTCAATTTGTTTGAGTAACAAGACACTACGTCCTGACCACTGGCAGTAACCTTTGTTGCACGTGTGATCTTCTTGGAAGCAGGCAGCTGACACATTCCAGTGTTTTTTTTCCAAGGGACAAAACAGGGGAAACTTGGTAAAAACTTGTTAAAATGAGGATGAGCAGTGACTGCAGTGTAAATATGGCCTCGCTATGCTTGTAGCAGACAAATGGGAAGTCAGAAGGATACAGACTTAACTGCTTTCATTTCAATTACCTTGAAAAAGAAGGAACGTGATCTTCATAATGTAAGAATAGCAGCAAAAGTAATTTTCGAGTTTCATTATTTTCACCTATTTTGGTACTTCAGCTGTATTCTTACGGGAGAGTTCTGGTTTGGCACGCTGCCATGTGCTGTTCTATTTTTATTGTTGCTTTAGGTGCCTTTTGGAAAACCGTGTGCCAAGCTGTTCCTTTAGCGGGCGGAACGGAGCTGGGCGCTGCGATGCGGGGCAGCCTGTGGTCAGGTTGGGGGACCCCGCTGGAGGGGTTGGTCCTGCCGTGCTCTGGGTGCCTCAGAAGTAGCGTTTTTGCAGTCACACTCTGGGAACTTACGCTGCTCTCATTTGGAAGGACTGAAGTTGTCTTACGGTGCTGGCAAAATTAATTCCCTGCCTGTACCCTGCTGTAAGTTTGGGAAGTAGTCCTTGATGACGGAGGCTGGGGAAGCTACAAACCTGTTTTGGATCTGATTATGCTCTATGCTCCTTATTGGTAATAACTGTGGGAATAAGAGAGAAGTACCTTTCGGTGCCCATTCTCCTCTTCCCTTTGGTCACATTTTCTGTCTTTATTTTTCTTGGTACCCAGCCTCCAGCTTCACTTCTGTATCTGTGACAAGGCCCTGCCAATAAACCTGCCTTTCCTGGGTGACTCACCCGCTCACTGAAGTGTCCTCATGCCCCAATCAAACGATTTTCCAGTACTGTGTCTTCAGTTTTCATATTTAAGCAGCGATATTTTTATTAATTCTCATAAGTATTATTTCTAGAAACCTGCAGCTCATTGGAAACTATGGGTACCAGGAGGCAAGGCTGCCCCAGTAGCTTTGTCACCTCTGTAGTGCAGCTGGTTGTTGGTGGCCTAAGAAGTGGTTGGGCAGAAAAGGTGTAGCTGGCTTTTGCACAGTTGATTTGCCAGGCATGGTAATATTTTATTAAACACACGCTTCAGGGATGGAGCACGATTTGATTTTTTCTTACCTGTAACGTGCTGCTGGCTTACGTTCACCTCCACTACTGAGTGTTTTATTAATTGGGCTTCCATCCAGTGTCGATAAGCCGTATTTTATAAACCAATGTGTTTATGTCAGTATTTGTTTAATTTTCAAAACATTTATCAATTAAAATATGTTGCTGATGCAGCCACGTGCCTGTGTGGTATTACTGTGCTAGTAGAGAACAGAAGGAATTGTGCAAACTGGGAGACCTGTGGTTTGACACTTGAAAATAATCAGACAAATCAGCCTTGAGGCGCTTTGTTTCTCTTGCTGCATTGCTTTGCCTTTCTGGTTGTGTTGCTCAGTTCTGCTCACTGATGGGGTATTGTTATGGAAGTTAATAAGGTTCTCTTCTTCAAGGTTGCATGTTTGTGCCTCAAAGAGGGGCCATGGCAAACTGCACACGTCAGTACGATCCAAAAATGGCTAATGTGCAATCATGTAATTCCCTTCCCACGCAGTAGGTCAGGCATTAAGATTCATCGAGTAACAATAACAGTCTGTACAAAATGGAATTCTCAGGTTTTTTCCTCTGTTCCAAGGGGATATAAATGACAGTAAGCATACCTTGAATTCAAAACTGGTTAGGGAAGTTGTGTTTACAAAGTGGATTAATGGATTCTTGTGTAAACCTGCAAGTGGGCTTAGGCTTCCTCTGTCTCCAGTGAAGAGGAAAATGTGAACAGTTCTAGATTAAAGATTGCAGCCATGTTCTAAGCAGTTTGGAGCTCTAAGACATTTGTTGGTGTTTTTCAAGTGTGTTTTTTTCATTAAACGTAATTTGAGAGTGTATATTAAGGGATCCTAGGAGATGAGGTGGGGTTACCAGGTAAACAGAACTGTACTGAAGAAGATGGGGAAGTGGAGGAAGGTGTGTGTGCTTGCTGGAACCATTTGAAAAGCATGTTATGTGTCCAGCTGCATCACCTTCCTGTTGCTTCTGTAGTGAAGCATGCTGCCATTAGGCTGTTGGCTCCATCAGGCATAGATGATGGCTGTCATGTAAAGTCTGAGTCGTGGAGCGCGTTGTCCAGTTAGACATGGGAAGTATGGATGTTTGCCTTAAATGTAGGAAGGTTATTTTCTCAAATCCTTTGGGTGGATCTGTAGGAGCTCAAGCTGGCAATCCGTTGAAAATGAAGAGCTGTTCGTAATGCGTAGAGGGCAGTGATGGAGAGAGACTTGCTGGAACTGATATGATAGGCCCAAATTGGGCACTTATGTAACCAGGAGTTGTTTTGGAGCACATGTTCATGTTCACTGAGCTCTGTTGGCCTATTCCACCTGCAGATGGTGTTCATTGTGCCACCAGGCCATTGCAGTGCCTTGCTTCCACTGGTGGGATGGTCCTGATCCTGGAGTGGTCGCACATCTCTGTTCCTGTGGCTCTTTCTGCCTGATTGCACCCCTTAGGTGAACCTGCCTTGAGGAGCCGAGCTGCGGAGCAGGAGTGGTTTTCTGCATGGTGAATGCCTAAATCCCCGTGGAGCCCATGGGTGGAAGGGCACAGGGCTCCTGGCAGCAGGAAGGAGGTGCTGAGCAGCGCCGTCCCTTTGGGTCCCAGAGGTGCTGCATTGGCCGTCTGGGCAGGCAGTGGTGGGAATGCCTTCAGTTACTGCAGGGCTGGGCAAATAAAACTACTCCTGCTGTCATCTGCTTTCCTACCTGATCTTACTCTGAAAAACCGTTTGGGCTATGTGCCAGTTCCAAAAGTAATCCTATAATCTGTGCTGTGATCTCCCTTTTATCTTTTTCTGTCTGAAATGTTACACACTCTGTACTAGATCAGTTAGAGCTCTGCGAGGAAATTTGGGACTGCTGTTGATTTGCATTAATGTATGCAGGCAGGAAGATCACGTGCGTTTCTGTTTGGTTTCCGCCTGCACCCCACGGGATGCTGCCCAGGTGTTAGCTGGGGTGGGGTGCAGGAGATGAGGGAGAACTGGGATCGTGGTGACAGGAACGTCCTCTGCATGAGACTTCTTCTGGCCTCACCGCAGTTAATCAGGTGCTGTTGTCAGAACCCTGCTAGACCTCCTGCTTCAGTTGGATGCGTACCAGCCTGCTGTGGTTAGATCTCATTATGAGCCTTTGCACTTTGGAGTTTTCCGTGGTTTATGTAAGCTGTAGTGCCAGTTCTACACTTGAGGTCTGGTGTAGGTCCACGTTCTGTGAACAGGCTGATGTGGGCCACCCTACTCAATAAGTCCTGTTCCTCCCTCTTCGTCTCCTGCTCAACTTCTGGAAAGTAGACAAATTGATGCCTGAACGCACCTCCCTGCTCTTCTCTCTACCCCTTTTTGTTCAGAGCAATTTGTTTTTTTCCTGCTGCTGGAAGAAAGCTTAACCAAACACATTTTTTGTTTTTTTTTTCTTTTTTGAATAGGTGGAATTACCTGATTTTTCCTTCAGGTAGAGGATGGTGGTTTTCCTTACGTGTTCAGGAGAAGCTTTCCTGTTAACTGATCAGAAACTGTGGCATGTAATAGACTGCTTAATTCCTCACCACTTCGGAGTTTGCATCTGAGGAAACTGGTCTGCTTTAGGCAGAAGCTGTGATTTGCTGAAAATAAGCTTCTACGTGAATAATCAAAGTGACAGCTATGCTGTAGGCTGT